CCTCATCGCTTCTTCCCCTGCTCATCATTCTCCCTGTCAGGGATGTGCTAAATTAAAAATTTCTTTTCCTTTTTTACTGCAATGAATTACGATGCCCAGCAACTGGGCCAAGGCTGCCATGGCCTTACCCCGCATCCGACGGCCGTCTCTGCCCTCTGGCGGCACCTTCTGGAACTAAGGCCGCCCTCTGGCCGCAGAAGTGAGTGGGGGTGTTAGGGCCAGGGTTCCTTCCTCTGCACCCATCTGCCCAGGCCACATGGAGACAGAACCCAAAAAAGGGGCTGTCACCACCTACCAATATAACAACTCTCTGCTACCGGGGTAGGCAGCAGACAGACCTGGAGCCCAGGATGGAGCGACAGAAAGACAGACAGACAGGCAGACAGGCAGACAGGCAGGCAGGCTAAGCCCAGGATCTGGGAGCTTCTTGGTGCTGCTTCCTTCTGCCTCTCTGATTCCTCCCCAGTACTGTCACTGTCACTGTCACCAATAAGCCAGGTCCTGGTGTTGTAGGCAGTTGAATTAGATAGAAATACCATAGGCAGTCAGACAGGGCCAGGCCCTCAAGGACAATTTGGAAGACAAGGTGACTTTGCAACTTGAAAGAGACAGACACTCCTATTTAGGCAGGCGCAGGGTTCAGGTTCGATCCTCAGGCTTGCTGTGCCAGCCCTGCCCCTGGGGTGCCCTGAGACTGCGATTAAGACTGGATGTGGTGGTGCACCCCTGTAATCCCAGCTCCTGGGAGGCTGTAAACAGGCTGATCACTATGAGTCTGATCTGGTAGTGAGATGCTGGACACCCTGAATACCCTTCCCTAAAAGTAAAAAAGAGGAAACATACTGTTACATACTTCCCTAGGGATGGGCCAAATCAAGGATTGATATTCTAAATAGGTATCAATCACCTTGAAAGGGCCCCCCAAAAAATAAATAAATAAATAAAAATAAAAAGGCCCGTTCCACCAATAAAATAAAATAAAATAAAAATAAAAAGGGGCTGGGGAGATGGCTCAGTAGAATAAGCACCTGCCTGGTAAGCAGAAGGGCATGAGTTCAATCCTCCGTTCCTCCAAGAAAAAAAAAAAAAAAGAAAGAAAAGAAAAGAAAAGAAAGACCCCAAATGAGTCACTAGCCCAACTCCCAACAGGAAGAGACCCTGTCCCATATTCATGCCCACTTGCTAG